ACCAGCCTGGCCAACATGGTGAAACCCCATCTCTACTAAAAATACAAAAATTAGCTGGGCATGGTGGTGGGTGCCTGTAATTCCAGCTACTTGGGAGACTGAGGCACGAAAATCACTTGAACCCGGGAGACAGAGGTTGCAAGGAGCTGAGATCGTGCCATTGCACTCCAGCCTGGGCAACAAGAGCGAAACTCTGTACCAAAAAAGAAAAAAGAATGTGTGGGAACCAACGTATTGAAACATTTAAAAACAGAAGGCCAGGCGAGGTGGATTCACGCCTATAATCCCAGCACTTTGGGAAGCCAAGGCAGGTGGATCACTTGACTCCAGGAGTTTGAGACCAGCCTGGGCAACAAGGTGAAACCATGTCTCTAAATAAAATACAAAAAAATTAGCTGAGCATGGTGGCGTGTGCATGCCTGTAGTCCTAGCTACTTGGGAGACTGAGGTGGAAGAATCACTTGAGCCCAAGAGGTGAAGGCTGCGGTGATCCATGATTGCACTACAGCACTCCAACCTGGACGACAAAATGAGACCCTGTCTCAAAAATATAAAAGAAAAACATAATTTGTTTAGTTTGTGTTATTTCTGCCCTGTGGCAGGTGCTAGGGTTGGATGATCTGGGGTTCATTTCCACTTGGTGATGGCTGGATGATACATTGGGAGTTTAGATTTATAAACAAAAGGAGATCAATGATAACCAAACTTCTGTCCTCCCAGATTCACCCTCATGGCTTAAATCATGGATGGCGCTGGTTGGCACAGATCTTAAACATGGAGCCCTTGTCAGATGTGACAGCCACCCTCCTCTTTGACTTCTTGGAGGTACGTAACTCAGTTATCACACAAGAGAAGGCCAGTGGTTGAGGTAGCCTTGATCCACTGGGTGACATGAATGGGGAAACAGCATAGCAATTGGGCCTGATAGTAAAACAGCATGAGGTTCCAGTGTCATACATTTTTCCTAAGCTGTAGACCAACCTTGCTTTCACTTTTACTCCATACTATATTTACTTGGCTTCTCTGGATTTTTTTCATTTTAAAGAACAGAAAATTGTACATTCTAGCAAAAGTGAAAAGAGAAATTTGTTTTAGGGATATAGAAGTGACTCCCAGACCAGGTGCAGTGGAGGATCACACCTGTAATCCCAGCACTTTGGGAGACCAAGGTGGGCGGATCACATGGGATTAGGAGTTCGAGCCCAGCCTGGTCAGCATGTTGAAACCCTGTCTGTACTAAAAATACCAAAAAAAGGCTGGGCACAGTGGCTCACACTTGTAATCCCAGCACTTTGGGAGGCTGAGGCAGGTGGATTACCTGAAGTCACGAGTTTGAGACCAGCCTGTCCAACATGGTGAAACCCCGTCTCTTAATAAAAATACAAAAATCAGATGGGCATGGTAGCACATGCCTGTAATCCCAGCTACTAGAGGGGCTGAGGCAGCAGAATCGCTTGAACAGGATCTTACTCTGTCACCCAGGCTGGAGTGCAGTAGTGCGATCATACCTCACTGTAGCCTCAAACTCTTGGGCTCAAGCGATCCTCCCATCTTACCCTGCCAAAGTGTTGAGATTACAGAAGTGAGCCATTGCACTCAACCAAGAAGATACTTCTTATAGAAGAAAGGCTTGGGGTACATGCCATAACAAATGTGGAACCATTTGACCTATAGTGCCAATAGTTCCTAGTTACCTTAATAGCTCCCGAAGTCAGCCAGGTGCAGTGGCTGACAGCCTTTGGGAGGCCAAGGCAGGCGGATCACTTGAGCTCTGGAGTTCCAAGACCAGCCAGGGCAACATGGTGAAACCCTATGTCTACAAAAAAAGTACAAAAATTAGCTGGGTATGGTGGCGTGTGCCTGTGGTCCCAGCTACTGGGGAGGCTGAGGTTGGAGGATCACCTGAGCCCAGGGAGGTTGAGGCTGCAGTGAGCTGTGATCATGCCAGTGTCCTCTAGCCTGGGTGACACAGTGAGACCCTATTAAAAAATAATAATAATAAAAAGCTCCTGAAGTCACCATACATGAACAATGATCCTGTATCATTTGAGAACACAAGTGGTATTCTGTATACTCTCCTTACTAAGTTTGGGAGGTATACCATACCTTTAGGAAGGCTTCCATTCATTAGAGGAAAAGAACAGTAGTTCGTTAAGACCTGATTGGTTAAATGGAGGTATTGCCATATAAAGAGAAATGCTTTAGAAGAAAGTTGGGTGTTTCCATTTATTCCCTTTTAGCAAGTTCAGTGGCATTGTGGCTGAAATTTTTGATAGGTGTGAAAGATGAAGGGCTGATTGTGCTTTATGAATCTGTCCTGTGAGTGTGAATTTTCATTCTCTGCTCTGACAGTGCCTGTCTTTCCCTCTAGGTGTGTGGGAATGCCCTCATGAAGCAATACCAGGTTCAGTTCTGGAAGATGCTAATTCTTATCAAAGAGGACTACTTTCCCAGGTATCAGGCTTGTTGAGCAGACAACAGGGGATTAAGTAAGTAAAACTCATAACCAGGCCTCAGATACCCAAGGGTGCTATTACCTGCTGGTTTTGATTCAAGTTAAAAACACCTGTACTAAGTATGACATCTTCCTACTCCAGTCCCTCTCATTGATATTTGAATAAATGCTTTTGAAACTTAATGAGAGTCTGTCTTAAATATCATTGCCTAAACAAAAACACAAATTAGGGACTGGTCACAGTGGCTTATGCCTATAATTGCAGCTCTTTGGGAGGCCACAGCAGGAGGATCACTTGAGCCCAGGTGTTCAAAACCAGCCTGGGCAATATAGCAAGACCCCATCTCTACAAAATAAAAAATTAGCCAGGCATGATGGCATGCATCTATAGTCCCAGCTACTAGGGAAGCTGAGATAGGAGGATCGCTTGAGCCCAGGAGTTCAAGGCCTCAGTGAGCTATGATCGCACCACTGCACTGCACTCCAGCCTAGGTGACAGAGTGAGACACCACTTCCAAAAGATAGGTGTA